GATTAGCTGTATGGCACTTGGCGTAGAGCTGCCTCCCTCAAGAGTAACTACAACCTTCCCATGCACAAGATGCTCAATACAGACCTTAGCAGAATCTTGAAAAGCCCAGAGATCCAAAGAGCCCTCCGAGCACCACGCAAGAAGATTCACCGCAGAGTCCAAAGAAGAATTCACTGAAAAACCTGAGAATCACATTGAAGCTAAACCCATAGGCAAAGACCATGCGCTGGAGCACCATTCTTCGTCAGGCCAAGAACCACAAGCTTCGGGTGGATAAAGCAGCAGCAGCACTAGAAGCCAAATCAGATGAGAAGGGGGTTCCAGGCAAGAAGCCTGTGGTAGGGAAGAAAGGAAAGAAGGCTGTTGGCCTTACGAAGAAGAAGCCTTTGGTGGGGAAAAAGGCTGCAGCTACCAAGAAGCCAGCAGCTGAGAAGAAGCCGGCAGAAAAGAACCCCACCACAGAAGAAAAGAAGCCTGTGGCATAAACTTACATTTGATTATTCCATAGCGGTCAAGTCACTTTGGACAGCTGATTTTGAATAAAAATGATCAAAGGCAATGAGAAAAAAAAAAAAAGAGAAAAGTGAAAATTCCATTTCTCACGCTGACCAATGAGCTGACAGCTTAATGCCTCCTTCCGAGGACAAAAGGAACTCAGTTTAGAGAGCAAGGTCAGAGCACACAAAAGGCCACGCTGGCCTGGGAAATCAATAGGTTTAACAACAAAGGATGAGTCAACCAATACTTGCGGATCCCAGGCACTTGAGAGACATTTTTATTTTGACTCAAAATAGGAATTAAATTGTCCCACAGATGGCTAGGAAAAGAGATCACCCCTAAGTGTTTTATTCGTGCTTTCTAAGAGCTATTACAATGAGGCCCCTTTAAAAGCTAGGATATTATTACAGGGTATGGGGCACTTCCCAAATATACCCAATATATCTAACTTCCTCTCGGTGGCCACGCTGGGTGAAATAATTCTTTCTTGCCTTCAATTTAGATAAGGCACAGCCAAAACAGTTACAGGATGACTAAACCTGAACTTGCTGCAGGAATTCCTAAACAGATAAGAACTTCAGAACTTTGCAAATACGCCCTCATTTGAAAGACAAGAGAAACCTGAAGAAAGTCTGAGCTCCTTTCTGAAAAGGTAAGCTCTTCAATGCAGAGTCTGTCTCCTTACAAACTCTATTCAGTCCTTAGCGTCTGTGCGAACGCCAAGAGGGAAACCGGCTCTGCTGCCCCATCAAAGGCAGGCAAGCCCCCTGAATGAGATGGGCCGCTGGGATCGCTGGAAGCCGCAGAGCTGGGGCGGGGAGGGGAACCGGACGGCCAGGAGTTAACAGCGATGGCATGAAGCTGGGAAATGCCTGGTTCTTGGGTTTTTTCTAGCCCTCCACCCACCTCAGCTGCACACTATTTAAATTCTCAAAATAAAATGTTAAATAGAGAAAAAGAAGAAAGTGAGTTTTAGAAAGTAAACACCTCTTCATTAGCCTATTCCTAGAGGCTGCCAACTCAGAAAAGAGTTTCTTGGCTGAGAATTTAAAAGGAACGTAGCAAGAATGTCACAAATTCTTTAGAGTGATAAAACACTCAGGGTGACCTGGAGCTCTTCTGTTGTTCCCACGGAGTGAACGCCTGAATTAAGAAATTGCCTGTCTCCAGATTAATATGATTTCTCCTTTATATACCATTGCAATTAGGCCTAATTTAAAAGAAGGACTGTTTCTTTTTTTTCTTTTCCTGGTAACAGATACTGTTTCTGAAATAATTAAAGGGAATTATGGGATACTTTAGGGAAACTTTCTACCCAAAAACCCAGGCTTTAAATAACACTGAGCAAATTTTAAACTATCTTTTACACCAGTTTCTAAGAGCTAAACTTAGATCGAACTCAATTAAGCTAACTTTTAACAATTTACCGTAGTATATTAACATTCCCATAAACCAAGCCCTCGGGGCGTTCATTGCTAAGAACTGCAGCAAAAAGAGACGGAAGCCCTGCCTGTTTTTTCTCCAACAGAAGAGCGCTCAGGCGAGTCCCCCAAGATCCACGCCGTCTCCCCGAGTGACAGGAGACGCCTGCAATGTCGGCCGGTGAGCAGCCCTTTGGACACTTCTCTGAAAGGAGACAGGTGTCATCCACAGGGACTCCGAATCGCATTTCTGTGAGAAGCCGCAGTGCTCTGCTGATCCAGACTTCACCCAAGGGCTCTAACAGAACAGGGCCAGTTCAGAGGAAGTCCCGGCCGGGATGGAGACTGCGCTGGGGGCTCACAGGGCCCCCAACAGGCGTTACCTCCTCCTCCTCCTTCCCTTCCCCCTCTGGGTGTGGGAGCTGCTCGGAGGCATCCGCTTCCACCGCAAACACGCCCAGTATCGAAGCTGTCATCCTCACACGTCCCTAACCTACTTGGCAGAGTGGACGTTTCTAAGAGGGACAGCCAAGTACAAAAATTAAAATAGAGAAATTCATCAAAACTCAAAAACTGGCCACTGCTCCCCGTGTCAACGCTGGGTATTTCAACCACTGGAATGTACATTAAGTACAGGAGTTGCCCCAAAGAGTTTAAAAAACAGTTTGTTTAATCATGTCATCTTTACGGTAACTTGTCCGGCCTTGATCAGATCTTTTGTAAAATGAACACAAAAGGTACCTTTTAGTAACACGTGAGGAATTCAATCTGTGCATTTCGGGAGATAAACCAGGTCTCAGATCTCTACGGAGACAACACAGACTCGGGCATTCCTCAGCAGGTGGCCTGGGACCAGCCAGAGTCCAAGATCCAGCCAGGTTTCCAAGCTCAGAGGGATGATTAATGACACAAAGGAGGGAGGCTCGCTGAGCTTCTGCAATGGGTGCTCACCAGAAACCAGCTGCTAACCAAAAATGCTTCGACCTTAAAGGGCGTCCTCTATGCAGGGTCCAGCAGGGGCTAGGCCCAGAGTATCAGTGACAAAAAGATAACAGGACTAAAACCAACCCAGCAGATCCTTGACACTGAGATCATTCAAAAGACTGCAAACCCCAAGATACAAAAAAGTGATGTCTTGAGTAAAATAAGAAAAAGACCAAAGAAAGAAAGAAAAGGAGCTTGATTCTCCGCGGACTGATTATCTGACTGAGCAACACCTCCGCCCTTGCTGTGCTGCCTGCAGCCCTTTCCTCATTACTCTTGTCGTGTGGAGGGGGGATCAGAACAGGGTGAAACTTGAGTGAATAGATTGAGAGAATGTTTCCTACGGAGAAACCGAGTCATGACAAGAGAAAGTTAAAATTAACCTTATAATCCTCATTTATGTCCTATATGACACTTTCTTTTTTTTTTTAAATATATTTTTTATTGATTAAGAAGTTACATATGTGTCCTTGTCCCCACGTTACCCTCTACCCCCCCCGCTCTTGCCCTCCCCCCCCGTTGTCCGGGTCCCTTGGTTAGGCCTCTATGCCTGCATGTAAGTTCTTTGGTTGCTCTTTCCCCCTTACCCCCCCCCTCCCCTACCCTCCCTCAGTCCCTGTTTTCAAAGTATTTCTG